AATATTTCAACAGCGTCACTTACTCTGTGTTTGACGACTATATCCGTCATCGGCTGATTATCGCGACACACACTGGGGGGGCGCACTTTGCAAAATGATCGACACAGTTAACTGGTTAATCGTGCCCCTTGAAAGAATCTTTTGATAATCTGGAAATCTGGAATATAAGAAAAAAAAGGGGGTAAGAAAAATGAATGAAAATAAAATAAAATAAAAAGAATAATAATAAGATGGAAGAGGACGCGTGGCAGGAAGAGGAGGAGGAGATAGCTCGAGGGAAATGGTGGGTTGGCTAAAAATTGGTACCCTTTCGCTCGCGGGTGCCTCTTGGCGGATGGTACTCGTGTAAGCAGCGACTAGTGAGGTAAACTCGAGTGTCTGCGGGCTCAACTAGGAAAAGAGAGAGAAAGAGAAAAAGAGAGAGAGAGAGAGAGAGAGAGAGAGGTTACTACCACAACTACTAGCTAGGTGAAGGGAAGGAAGACGGGGGGATAAACGGGGGAGGGAAAGGGTGTGTAGTAGGTGTGGAAGGAAGAAAGTAGGGATCCCCAAGGGGATGCTTTTCCTCGGTCTGAGGCATTTCGTAGGCGATATCCTCCTAGCTCTACTCAGTGTTGTCTACCTTCTACAAGTCTGTTCATCTTTCTCTATTATTATCTATCTTTCTCATTCCCGTAGAACCACACGGGCCTTCTCAAGCGTTTCTCCTTGTCGTAGTCGTAGTCATCATCCTCCTCCTCCTCCTTCTTCTCTTCTTCCACCCTCTTCTTCTCTTCCTCCTATTCCTCCTCCTCGGCATATCCCTTCCCAAGAAACGTACACAGGGCACCAACCGGCAAGAAGTAGACAATTCACAATTAGCAAACACAAACAGAAGTACGAGTGGCTTGAAGTTGGTTGGGACGCGGTGGCAACGGGCTTAGCCTTCCGGCAAATGGTGGGGTAGGAGGCTTCTGGGATGCGAAACGACTAGCTTGCCAGTCCCTGAGCGTCAGCCTCCGCTTCAGAATCCTCTTCTCTCTCTCTCTATCTTTCTCTTCACGTACTCCTCTCACTCTCTCGGACCTAACCCAACAGAGACGACCGAAGCGAAGGCACACGTACTCTTACATTTTCGGATAACGGGTGTACCCGTTCTTCGATGTATGCCTTCCTACTTTACCTTTATTTTAACTTACATTCTTTTAACTCGCTCTTTTAGTTACCCATTATTATTCCTCTCTATTCAAATATATCTTTTGTTCAATTTTTGTGTTCAACAAACTAACCATTTTATTTAATCTTTGATAATCATTCACTTATCTTTATATCATCATCATCATCATCATCATCATCATCATCATCATCATATATTTAGTGTCACCAATTGTTTACGTATTTAATCGTTGTCCTGAACTTATTTCAAGTGGTGGAAAAATTTCATAAAAATTTGTTACTTTTTTTTTTTTTTTCAGGTATTTCTCTTTAATTTTTAGTTCCCTTTTTTTTTCTTCCTTTGGCATGTCACGTAGAACGATTGTAAAGTACACCCGGTATACACACGCATCGGTCTCTCTCTCTCTCTCTTTCTCTCTTTCGTCGTTGCGTTGGAACACTCGAAGCCCCAACCAGTTACGGCAACAATAGGCTTTGTCTTCGCGCCGTCGGCGCTCGCAAATTGGTAGAAATCTTGATTAAAGGTGCAATTCCGCTGCTGCCTACGGACAAATATGAATTGCACCCCCGATCCTACCGTCCCTTTTCTATTTCTCTTTCTTTTTCTACTTCTTCTTCTTCTTCTTCTACTTCTTCTTCTATTTCTACTCCTTCGTTCTCGTCGTCTTCGTCTTTCGCTGTCCCGTCGAAATGAAAATGGAAAAAATATGCTCGTTCTGTGTTCATTTTACCAATGCGCAACCCTTCCCAATTTTCATGAAGAAAATATTGTGAAATAAAGAAAAAATTCAAGAAAAAAATACCTTGTTATAATTATTAAGAAACAATTGTATGTAACTAATATATAAGTCTCAAAGAAAGTTATAGACGGTTAATAAATCTTATATATAAATATTGATAATTAAATTGTATGTAACGTTGGATTGATCAATTATTAATATCGAATCGTTCAGTATTTGTTATCTAATCAAATGTGAACACTCGTTTTAATTGTTAAATATTCTATTGATCATTTTTCAAATATAATATCAGTATTATCGATAATAAAATACTTTAAAGTGTTTGTTGTTTAATTAAATATTTAAAAATATATATATATATAAATTGTATATACACCAAATGATTACTCATTCCTATAAGCTTACTACAAATTTTATTTACACTTTTATTTTCATTTTTATTAACTTTAATAAATAAAAATGATATATGCAATAAATTTAAAATATCAAATAAATATACAAAGTGTTCTCTTGTATAATAATTAATATTAATTGTATGTACAAACACATTGTGCACACACATATTATTTTTATGAAGGATTCGTCGAGTAGTATACTCTATGTACAATGATATTGTAGAAATGTCAAATTAATAAGCAATATAAATGATTATTAGTTAGATTCGTCATTCACAATGATTGTTATATTAAATAGAATAGTATTTATTCGTAGGAAAAAATCAACTTATTTTCTCATTTGTCGACCATCGTCGAGAACGTAATCCTATTGCGGGATTACTTGCCGACGTGTATCAACGTACTCGGCCATGTCCGTCGCAGAAATCGGATGTAGGGAAATATAGTATAGAAATGGAATAATAATGCATTGTATATGACAGATGCGATCAAACCTCTTGCAATAATCCGTGTATTAGTCTCTAGTGTGATACCAAAATCTATGACCACAAGCAACATACATTTATATATATGTGTATATTATTTTATATATAAAAGAAATTTGTATGTAACTATGATCACATTATAACCTGGGCAAATATATTTTGTGTGTGTGTGTGTGTGTGTGTGTGTGTGTGTGTGTGTGTGTGTGTGTGAATATTTTTGGATACAATGGAAATAACAAAAGAATTACACTAAATACGAGCTGTGTTAATACAGTGATTTATTATAATTTAATAGAAATATATAAATGATTAAATATTATATAACATTTAAATAAGTATTTCGTTCGAAATGATTTACAAGATTTTTATTCAAAATTCATTACTATATATTTATCTATCTTTTTGATGAATATTTAAAAATATGGGAATATATTAAATAATTAATAATACTTAAAGAAAGAGAGAGTCATCAAATTCATTTCTACACCTAATATAACTCAAATTTAACATTATAATTAATATATGTATAATGATCAAAATCAAGCATCTGTTTAAAAAATCACTGTATGATCGAATAAGTGGAGTTAAAATAGTTCAATTCATTGCAAATTAATTATAGCATTCGATAGATCCTTTTTTTCATACTAATTTTTTCTTTAATATTACCACCACCAATATTACCAAATTTCTATTTATACAGTAATACACGCACGCACACATGTTTTGAAAGATCAAACGCAACATAAACCCATGTGTCCTGTGCAAAGTAAGTAAATACACACCACAGTATTGAGTCAATTTACATAATGATAATCGAAACATACATCTAGATATGAAAAGCTCTATTTGAATTCTTGGAAACATACATGAAAGAATTATTCGCAAATTGTTAACATAATTTTCTATTTTTCTAAAGAATAACGACTTCGAATTTTAATTATTACAATCAAAATGTCGATATAATGCTTCAATGCAATCTTTTTTTATTTTTAAAGTTCAATGCATTAAAAATATATAATCGATGTTTTAATTGTAATAATATTTCTTTTTTATTTCTTTTTACCCAAATTAATAAAAATATAACGTTTGCTACGCTGTTCGTTTTTTAGATCATGCTCTCATATTTTGTATTTACAAAGATAATTATGTGCGTGTGTGTGTATGTGTAATTATTTTAATTTAATTAGAAATTATTTAGGAATCCGATTTCGATTTATTTTAAATTATGAAAATCAATTTAATTTTAAATCTTTTTCCTGTACCTGTTCCAAGACAATCGTTCTTATCGAGTAAACTCCTTCACAATTAATAATTGAAACAAAATATCTCTATATTAGATTTTTAATTGTTGTTTTTTCCTAAATGTATATAGAATGTATATAGAATTTAATTACACATTCACTTTGTGTAAACTACTTGCTATTAAAAAGTTACTAGGAAATAAGAAAGTTTCAAATATATTGAATTTCTAGTAACTTGGCTAAGCCGAAATTGGTAATAGTAGTGCTCTACCTTTATCTTACCGACTGAGATCTGATGGTAACTTACCATCAGAACTACCGACAGTAAAAAAACTTCCCGCAGAATAAAATTTATAGGTGCTATTAATTGCTCATTAATTGCTTATTTATTCTCTATAATTGTTCGCTTTATTGTTTGAAATTATTTTACTGTCGGTAATTTGATGGTAAGTTACCATCAGATCTCGGTCGGTAATACGACTTACCGACCAAGAAGGTTTTTAAATATAAATAACTAATGAAATAATAAATTAATAAGCGTGCAATTATAAAGGATAAATGAGCAATTAATAGCACTTATAAATTTTATTCTGCGGGAAGTTTTTTTACTGTCGGTAATTCTGATGGTAAGTTACCATCAGATCTCAGTCGGTAAGATAAAGGTAGAGCACTACTATTACCAATTTCGGCTTAGCCAAGTTACTAGAAATTCAATATATTTGAAACTTTCTTATTTCCTAGTAACTTTTTAATAGCAAGTAGTTTACACAAAGTGAATGTGTAATTAAATTCTATATACATTTAGAAAAAAACAACAATTATAAATCTAATATAGATTTTGTTTTCATTTCGTGTCACACACAACATTATCGACAAATGTCGTGATTTAATCTCGTAACTCATCTTTTTTCTACAATTATCGCTAAAGTCGTACATGCTTCAGGTGAAAGGTAGCGAACATCATTAACAGTATCACACCGGTTGACAAGATAAAACTATTTATTTTACTATCGATTATTTCAATAAAATAAAGTGAAAGAAAAGGTAATCAATTTGATTAATAATTATTAACATTTGTACTTGTCGATACATTTGATTAATAACAATTTAATTTAAATATAATAAAAAAAGCTAATCATTTTTTTTTGTGTCAATAAATCTCATGATATAGGAACGAAGTCTTGTTCGATGACAGCATTTCTAATTACGATAAGTCGTTAATATCTTGAAAGATAATCGCAATATCGTTGTACGTTTATTTTTTCGTGTTTCCGTTATACTATTTATAGAAGATGAGTGTGTCAATTAATTTATTAGGAAGAGAAATATATTTATTTCACCGAGGGATGAACAGTTTTGGTAATTTAAAAAAAAAAGAAACAAATTTAAATACTATAAATTTGTAATTCTTATAAATAGCATGTGACTAATTCATAGAACATTTTCTTGACATCATACATTTCAGGAGTGAAATTCAGAAGATTTCATAAAAGTCCCTTGGCATATTATACTTTGAGAAGAGATGTATTTTCGAACAACAACACTCCACCAAATGTTTTAACTAAAGATCAAGCTAACATATTAGCAGGAAAATTATCTCCAGAGGAACGAATCACTCTCATGACTGCTCTGAGCAAATATCAATCACTGGACGAGAAAGCTTCGTATGAAGGTAAATTATTAAATTAAATATATATATATATATTTATTTATATATAAAAGAATAAAAATCTAATCATATTACTGTATCTTCATTTTTCAGCTCAATTAGCAGGTATTCGTTGGAGAAGTAAACTAGGAAGGCCTACTAAATTGCCTAATCTTGGTGAGGTTGATCCTACTGGTACTTATTGTCCTCTCCCCGAGGATTGGCTTCTTCAAAAGTCTGGTAATAATATTAAAAAATTCATTTGAAAACTATTTACAAACGTATTCTTAATTTTTATTTTTATAATTAATTCTATGTACAAACACATCTCTGTGATCAATTCTAGTCAATATTTTATCTATGAATTTTATTCAAAAATAGAGTTACAAACATTTAATACATATTTTACTAATATATCTATGTAAGTTTATATTTATTTACATATATCTCTGTAAACTTTTCTACTAAACTTTTTATTTACAATGATTTATCTTTCTTATATCGTTTCATTTTACTATCAAAGATACTTTGACTTTAACAAATAATCTTTTACATACACAAATAATACTCACAACGTGGTCTTGCGCATGTTACAAAACATTCCTCTTTTCTAATGGATAGAAAAATATTATAACATTATATTTATAAGTATTTTTATGTTAATTTTACAGATTTTAATGTATCTATTATGCTTAATTAATGAATTATTTGTATTTTTAATACGTATTTATTCAAATGTATGCATATAGGAAACTAATAATTATAGGCTTTTGTTTTTTAATTATTAAATAACTTTCTCTCACATTAAGATGTTATGTTTTATGTGTATAATCTATTAGATATAACATATTTGATTTTTACATTAGTAATACTTCTATAATGCAAAGTATGCTATTTGAAAATGGTCATGTAATTTCATTGTATTTTACTACACATAGAATTTCATCACAAATGGAGTAATGTACGTTAATTCTTATAATAAAATGATCACTTTTTTAAAATTATGTGTACTTGATTGATATTAAGTAAATCAATCGTAATCTTTATTTTTAAATTTCTTAACAATTACAAAATTCATTGTAATTGGTAATACTTTATCCCTTATTATTATTACTATTGTTATTATTAATATTATAAATTATACAGTCTATTACTCATTTTACTACTCTTAATAAACACAACGCGTAACATATTTTTCTTTATATGAGATACCATGCAAAGTTCTTCATAGTAAAAATTCTACATTATAAAATTGATATTCTTTTTCAAATTACAGCTGAAAGTGATGCAAGACTAAGTAATAAAGTCCTTTTAAAAGGTATGCAATGTAATAATGTAAATCTATCTATATATACACACACATATACGCACATATATATATTTTAGATTTAAATCAATAATAATGATGTAAAAAAATGTTACAGTTGCATTTATAAATAGTATTCCATTCATTGCCTTCGGTTTTCTCGACAATGCCATCATGATAGTTGCTGTATGTATTGAGGATTAATACAATTTATGTGTCCGATATGTAACTTAGAACTTTTAGGGTGACTACATCGAAATGGTTTTGAGCAACAAATTTCCTATCTCAACTATGGCAGCTGCAGCTTTAGGAAATACGGTATCCGATATCATAGGAATCGGATCTACAAATTGGGTAGAAACTTTAGTAGAAAAGGTAGGAATTAAAAGACCACATTTAACCAACACACAATCAAAGCTGCGAAGGACAAGGATGGCTGTAAATTTAGTAAGTTTTGAATTAAACTTATGTTAGTAATTATATTGTATTTGGCATCATTAGTATATTTAACTTTTATAATGATTTAGGGTAGAGTGGTTGGAATTACTATAGGATGTCTACTCGGAATGGTAACAATACCAGCTGTAAACTTTTTCTGTAGTAGGTAAACAATTTTATTGCGCTACTGCATTTTAAATCACATGGAAAAATATTTATAAAACTATTGGCACAGTTTTATTCAATGGAAAATCATTTTATGAATCTTAATAGAGATACATGTTTAAGCGATATTTATAAATGTCACGAAATCGTCCCATTTCGTATTTCAATATATCCTTTCTAATATTTAGTATGAATTATATATATATATAGATATGTACGCATGATAAATATGTATATGTATAAATACATATATATATATTTAGATAAGAAAAATATATATATTTATATATATAATTTATATATATATTTTCTATTTATTAATTATTTAGTAATTAGTTTATTACTTATTGAAGTCACTTAAGGTTCTTTTCTGAAAGGTATGAGATAAATGAATATTGTTGAAATTATAATTTCCAGATTATTATTACAGAATATATTTATTATGGAGACTTATTATTATTATAATCTGATTTATACATTGTCTGTAAATTGATACAAAAAATATATATATCTGTATATCTTTATGCAACTTTCATAAAATCTCTAATTAAATTATATAAAGTTTATCTATGGTTTAAGTAACAAAAAAAAAGAAAAAAAAAAAAAACCATTCTATCATTAATTCCAATGTACAAATAATTTTTTTTTGCGTAAATGTTCACAGAAAATACTAAGATCTTTGTCAAAACAAACAAAAAATCCTAATGCAGATCTTTCTTCTCATTGTACAATTAATATTGTAGAGGAATTACTATTAATAATGAATTTACTTATAATAGAAAATGAAATATCATCATTAAAGTGTACATTATTCATTGGTACTAATGCTTGCGAATTTAGATGTGTATCTTCTTGAAACCAATTAACAATAGAACGTAACCATTTCCAAGATGTGTTTACTCCTGCATTACTTTTGCATGATTTATCAGATTTTGTAGCATGTATAAAATCCATCGTTGTAAATACATCAGATATCTCAATATCTTGGTTTAGCCTTTCTTTTTCTTCGACCGTATTGACGCTTACGTTTGTTATATTTTCAGTATTTTTTGATATCGTTGAACCAAGTTGTGTACCTGGCAAATGACTGGTAACTATAGCAGATCCCAAAATAGTTACAACTCCAATAGCATATGCTACTAAACAAACAGATGATATATTTATAAATTCATGAACAAGAGATAGCAGTTTAATGGAATCCATGAGACAGCTTAATTCTGTATAAGAAAACCAGCCACGTTTTTGAGCTTCTTTATAGGCAATTGTTTTTTCCAGTTCTTGTAGTTTCTTCCAAAAATCTTGATTTTGAACATATACACACCAATCCTATAGAAAATAAATAAAAAAGCATTAAAATTATATTCTATTCTAAGTATATGCTTTGGGAAACAATAGTATTTCTATTTACAATAGCATTTAAGAACTCTTTTTCCAATTGATTCATCTGTGATATGCTTAGATTGCTTGATAGAGCCCATTCTTGATTAAAAACTTGATCTTCTTCTCCGTCGTCATTCAAGAATTTAGTAGCTACCATCTATAGAAAAATAAAATAATCTTTATTTAATAAAGAAAATTAATGCGTAACATCTATTTTGCATGTAAGAAAATGAAATATTACTAAAGAAACAAGAAACAGTTTGGAAGGCGCCACTTGATGGAGATACTCCGGATTACAATCTTTTAATTTTTCTATGTACAATAATGCTAAGATCAAAGAACATGGGGAAACACAGGCATTTCTAGAAATTTTACTCGCTTTTTCCACATCTAATCGATCTAACGTATGATTCACCCCATTAAAAAGTTCTGCCGCCATTTCTAAAAACATTAATTTGTCTTCATTAAAAATACGTTAATTATTATCCGTTAAATATTACAAATCATTCTTTTTACAACAACAAAAATAAAAAGTGGTTATGACAAATAAAATGAAAATCATAACAGTTAATCAAAAAAGATTCGTTACTAACCAGTAACAGGCAAACTGAGGCAATCTGTCACAGGAAATTCGATATAATATAATGATTTAGTAATCCTATTTAAAAAATCATTATGATCTTTGGAGCCCTAGAAAAAATGATTCATGTCTATATATAAACAAAGATAAAAGTTAATTAGAAGAAGATAAAAAAAAAATAATGTTTACCTTTAATTTAGATGGAATAGACGTTTCTTTAGAATAATTTTTGGTCATGTTGAAATTTTGGAATGATCTTTAATATTATTGATACTTTCAGATATTGTTATTTTAAAAATAGATAATTACAAATCTTTTGGGAAAGATGAGAAATACGATGCGAATAACATACGAAAGGAATAACAAATAGATATATTGTTACGTTATGTTGTGTTATGAATTTAACCATAGAGTTAATGCACTATCAAGAAGATTGTCTTATAACCCTAACCTGTTTAAACCCTAACAATATGTATATATATATATATATATATATATAATCACATATACTATAAAAAAGATTTAATACAAAATTCGAAGCAAGCATACACTAATGTTTAAAGATGCATTTAAATACTTCAGATTATATGATGCAAAAATTATTCTTATTTATCCATGCAATCTACTTTTCATTCGTTCTGTCGATAAAGTAGAATGTATGAAAATAATAATAATAATAATACCTTGAGAACATATGACACTGAAGCCAAAAATTTGCATTCGCATTAGATCTAATTAATACTTCGCAAATATAGTTTTAGCTTAAAGACTTAGGCGAACTATACGAATAACATATTTACTTGTCTTAATATGAACATATTTATATTATTTTATAGAATTTATATTTTCTAGAGAAAGATTTTTTTTTATATACAATATATATCTAATTATATTTTATAAAATCAAAAGCGCAATAATTCGGTGAAACGTGTTTATTGTACTTTGAATAACAAACAGCATTAGAAGATACAGTATGCATTGTTTTAATAATGATACAATTTAGTGTAAACCGTACAAAGTCCTAATCACATGATAAAATACAAAATCATTTATTTGTAATTTTATGATTAAACAACGATAGTTCTAATAACAAATAAAAATTAGAAAGCTTGATAAAATTAGAAAGATAACGATAATTTAAAGTGGTTTGGAAAAATTTTGAAAAATATCTTAAGAAAGAAAAGTAATTAACTTTTATTATCTTAACTTGTATATATTATATTGAATATTGTATATTGTATATTGTAGTTGTATTATCCTTATATAATAAAATTAAAATATTATATACATATATTCAGTATTTATATATAAACATTTAAACGTGTGCATTGTAATTGCGTTAAAAAATTCGTTAATATGTTTCCAGAAAGAAATAAATTAGGTAAACGTCTATGTATAATGATGAAAAAAAAACTGTAAAATAATGGACTTATAAGGTAATTTGTGTTGCGTATCATACTGACATAGAATGCAATGCAATGCAGTTGGAAACAATCAAAAGTGATCCGTCACTAAGAAGAAAATGTCTGACCTTAAGAATACGTCACATGATGGCTTCCACTTGGGGAACTTCTCATTGGCTAGTTTCTTTCCGTTGATATCTCATTGTTATGTATTTTTATTTAAAATTCTACGAATTGTCACCTGATATAACAATGATCGTAACGATAAGATTCGATGGGAAACTCGGTAAGAAATAAATTATTAAATAAAATAAATGAATGTTTCTTTTTTTAAATTATCATTAAATTTAATATAGAGACGTAAGATTTTAGAACATTTGTTTGTCAGTTATAGAAGCTTAACATACATCTATGCATATGAGCTGTGGCCTGAGAACAAAGAAAAATAGTTATCGAATTGAACGAAGAAAGAAAGAAATATAACGCATCCGAAGAGAGTAAATATTTTGTCTTCAAGATTTTCGAAGATTCAACGATGTTCCCTGCTTCGTTACTCTGCTAGAATTAGATATTACAAAGAGAATAAATAAGCTTGCACATCGTCCAATGAAAATTTGTTGATAAAATGTATTCCTTTTCTTTTCAATTAATTTACTGGAATGAACAACAATACTGGTTTGAAAATGTTCGGAAAAAAGCAAACTAATGTAAAAAAGCGTGCAGTAATATGACTACTATGACGATTTGTGATCTTGCATTGCAATTATTATGTGTTAAATGTATGGTAAGCGAAGAGTAAAATTGTATACATGTATATATCTATTTATGCATGTGATGCATATGGGTGTGGGTATATATGTATTTGGGAGAGATGTGGCATACAAGCGCATGCACGAATGACGTAGTAGCTTGGAAAAAAAAAATAAACGATGTTAGAGAAAATGTTAAGATTGAATTGCGTTAATAGGTAAATAAAGAGTATTTTCTAATAGTTCTATATCTCTCTTTCTCTCTGTTGGACAACTAGTAGAGCAAAACAGCTACCAATTGAGCTTGTATGTTTTGTAAACTCGTGCATTGCGTGCATGCGCAGGTATACATCAATACAAACATGCACTATATATACATGCACATAAATTCATAGTTAGGAATAAATGTGTTAAAATACGTATATAGAGAAACATCCCCTCTACTAGCATTCTCTCCCCCTCTCTAGCATCCCTCTCAAGCGTCCAGTATTCGTAGTTCGGGAACGGAAGAGAAGGAACCTCTTCGGGCCATCGTAGTCTCATTCGTTGTTGAAAAGTCTCTCCTCGTTGTCACGCGCTAAAAATACTTTTCTACGACCGTTCGAGGGTATAACATGCCGAAAGAAAAGAAGAATTAGGTCGATAAAAGAGATAACAAATATTATCCTAGAATTGTCATGGAACAGCTAGGAAAAATTGCGGATTATTTACGCGGGTTGAAAAGTTCGCTTTTATCATCATCAGCAGAAGAAGCAGCAACAACAGAAGCTACAATAGCAGAAACAGAAACTGCACCACCACCACCAACACCATCAACACCAGCAATAACACCAATACCAACACCACCGCCAAAAGCAGATACACCAACAACACCAGCAGTAATTGCAACAGCAACATCGTCATCGCCGTTGTCCTGCGATGCAACAAAGATGAGCCTCGAGGCCGATTCTTCAAGGAATTTGGCCGTCCTTCTCGAGACAAAAAATGACCAAGAGTTTCGTAATAATGTTAACGATATTGAGACTATGAATAAATTCTTCAAAATTTTGGAGAATATCATTTTATGGGAAAACCCTTATAACAGTTTATATACAGTGGGTGTTTATAGTATAATCTTTTGGTGAGTGACCAATACTTTACTCCTGTGAATACATTTTTTTTTTAGATTATTGTATATCCATTAGGTGTGTTTGCACGCACGCGCCTCTCTTTCTTTCTCTTTCCCTTTCTATGCATTCTCTTCTTTCACTCTCACTCACACTGCAACACACACACTACTTCTTTACTTGCTCCTGACTCACTAACTCATACACATACGCATACGCACGCGTGCATGACATCGATCGTTTTGAATTGCGATCGCTTGTTACATTACTTGCTGACGTACATATGTGTGTACATACTTACACGCGTATTTCTTCAGAAGCAATGTTTGATTATCACATCTATGCACTTGACAATAAACATTAAAAAATATAACGTAGCATATGTATAACCCCGAACGTATACGCTCCTCCATCGTTTCGACTCCATTGTTTTTCATTCTTCTACATTTATTTGTATTTATTTTTTTGTTCAATAAGCTGCATTCGAATTTAAAAAAATGCATGCGATAGGTTTCTGCACAAATAACATACTTAAGGTACAGCATTCTAATATCGTGATGTTTAGGGTGCATAATCACATTTACTTATATATTTTTAAATCTATCAATAATTAAAATCCATCCTACTTTTTCCTCATAATTTTAACAATTTACATTAATTTTGCTATGCATATATTTATATATTTTTATGACTAATCCATTGTGGATAATTAAAATAAAGTTTAAATGAAAGGCAAGTGTTTACTACTAATTTTTCAGGGGGATAATTTTCCTAGACATCCAAATTTTAGCAGCGGCCAGCATCATTGCACTTTTTATGGTTCTGGGTTTTAAAAATCTGGAAGTGCTGATACAAGAAGAGAAGAAGGGAAAATTAGTGTATGTTATTAAGCTTCAAAAATATATATATATGGGTTGCGCATGTGGGAATTTATTCATTCTTTTTAATTTTATTTTTATTTCTTTTTTTATTCTTTGTGATGAATTTTAAGTTATGGATGCTGAAACTAAAAATTTTATATGGACTTTATTAATGTGTATGGTTCAAAGCTTTGGGATTCTTAACAACACAGTTTTCGAGAAGCATTTAAATTAAAAAAGTTTTTACATTTCAAGTTACGGAAAGTTAGAAGAAGTTATTTTAGATGTAGATTAATATTTAAATAGAATATTTGAATGGAGAACATAATTTGTTTCAATGTTATTTTTCTCTGATAAAATTTTTTATATGAGTCTTTAAGCGTTCCTATTAATATAATATTGAAAAGTTTACAGAAGCGTGAAATGAAATATTTCTAGATTCGATGATTATTTTATATATTAGATTATTAAAAGATTTACAATTTTTAATCAATATTAAAATTTTCCATGCTCTTCTATATTTGAACATTATGCATATTAGATGATCAAACAAATCACATATGCATAATAAATTGTCCATTTTCAGAATCAACATAAACAAGCTTCGCAATATGTTTATAGATCACAACCCAAAGCTGAACAGATTGAAAACATAGGAAGACAAATAAAATACTTATTCCAGAGCATACAACAACTGCGGGCAGATCAGCCAGGGGTGGTATGTTATCTTTTAATATTTATTACTATAATTCATGTTCTTTCACTCGAGTAATAATATTTATACTTATAAAATATGTTTACTGTGTATATAAAAAGCATTAAGCAATTTATTTGACGTATTTGAAGATAAATGAAGATAAAAGCTTATACTTGTAAGTTGTGTAATAAAATTATAGTTTTGTGCCGCTACTTGTTTCCTATCTCTGACCCTATGGATAATTGGGTGCATTGTGAACGGAGTATTTCTCGCCTATATATTAGGTCTAAGCATTCTAACAGTACCTGCATTATTACTGAAGTTACCTGGAACATTAATATCACATAGAGGTAAAGATAATAAAAATATAATATTACATATTTAATATTAAGTAGTTCTGTCTCTTAATAATACAAGTACTTTATCAAATTGTTATAGAATGGGATAGCGAAGTAGAAGAATTCTTACCTGCAGTAACTGAAGATAGTCTTCAAGTATTAAAGATGGCAGGAGAATCAGGTGACCATTCTCCAACACCATTGAGCAAACAATCAGATAATCAAAACGGTATGACTTCTTACTTTTATATATCAGCAAGTGATAGTAACAATTAAAGCTCATTACTTTATTTTTCTTATATTGATTTAACCCAAAGATTTAATAACAAAAATGTATATTTTGTCCTTTTCATTACAGAATTTTTTAATGATGATGAACTCATAGATTTTCTAATGCCATCCCACGACGAGAATAGCAGTGATGAAGTTGCCTCAGAATTGGAACTTAGTGGCGAAGAGACAGATATAGGTGACATTAAGTTCCAAAGCAAACATTTTGAGAAAAGTTCATCCTCGGAGGAAGAAATAGATATTAGACAAGAAATGCTCAAAAAAAAATTTGATCAAAGTGATGAAAGTGATTATGAATTCGTAATTATTGATAACGAGGAATTTGCAGATTTTAAAAATGTATGAAGATATCTGAAACGTGGGTATATTTCTTTTGAAACTGTGACATACATGCAAAATAAGATGGAAGAATATAATTATAACTTGTACGAGTATTGGCTTGCTTCTTTTTTTTTTATAGAAATCGGAAAAAGTATTTTTGTTAAACATTAACACTCTCGCTATTTGCATATATATTTTGTAAAAAATCATTACACATGAAAAGAAAAAAAATTAATAGAAAAATTCTAGTAAAATATAACTAAAACAAATTACTAAAAAGAAAATCATTATTTTTATGCTATGTGTACAGATACATACAACAAAGTAACAGTTAGAAACTATACAATAAGGTGTAGATGGAGACCCTTCTGTGATCTAGACTTAACAATGAAACGTTGAATTGATACATACTCAGATACATTTTTTTGATGGTACAGACAAATATTTAAAGATAATATCATATAATAATATAAAGAATTAAAAACAGATAGAATATATATCACACGCTTAAAGTTATTTTAATTTAATATAAGATTAATCAATATGTTTTACAATTTGGAAGATCAATTCTAACTCGTTTTGTTCCGTGCAGAAAAGTGATTAGAACTAATTTGTCCATTGAAAAATATTTATTAACTCCATATTTCTTAGAGTAAACAAATCTTCGCAGCATATAATCTCTTATGTGTATTAATAAGAATTAAAGAAAGGAAAATTTCTTTATATGAGAATAGTAAACAAACTGATTCATGTATTTATAAATAATTAATATATTTATCACGGGTGAGCTCCATGAAGCACGTATCATGTTGTAAATTACATACATTATTTTCTCTTATTTAGGAAAAAGTAATATCGCTGAATATTTATCCAAGAGATAAATAAGTAGATTAAAATCAGTTAACAAGTTTTCAGAATGCGTTTTCGTTTTCGTTAATTAACAATAAGTAAATGAAAAAGAGCTATTTTCAAAATATATTCGAGAACATACATCAAATTACAACATATATTGTATCGTAAGATGGAAACAGAGAAAAAAACAAAAATACTAGAGGCATATAATTAACATTCAATCAATTGCAAACAACCGATGAAATAAACACACTATATTATTTTACATTTTTTAGTTCAATTCATGCAACAACAAATTTCTTTATTATTTTGTAGACTTGAAAATTATTATTGAACCGTTTGTTAACTGCTCTATTATAATCTGAGATTAATTCTACGTGTACCTCATTACGATTTTGTTATTAATATTTTTTATATACGACAGGAAATCTCATGTAAATACAATACCAAATATTTCCAATCATGGTGTATTGTGTAAATAATAATACAATACTTATCGTAAGCTAGATGGAATTAAATCTTCTAGTTTTTAGAATTCAAGCAACATATGAAAAAATGAATGACAATTTGTTGAGATAAAATCCAAGACTGAATATAATAATGGGTTATATTTGTAATCAAGTAAAATTATTATTGAAATTCACATTAGAATTATTTTTCTTTGTAATGATTTTTTATTATTATTATTCTTTTCTTTTTTGCGGTAAAGCAGACGGTAAAGGATTTAATGATACAATTTTATACTTGCTACTCATCGGTAAATAACTAATTGTTGAGAGATACCATTGGTATTGTATTTCTCATTGATCTAAGCGTTTTTTAATGCGTTTTTCTTAAAAAACAAATTATTCTAATCCTTTTTTATTATACAAATTGTATATTATAAAAATGAACTTAAACAATATGTTTTTAATTAGCTTACTATAAATGTATCGTTTGATAAATCATGTTATTATCTTAACGTATACATTTTATTCCCTAGTATAGGAAATCAAATAGATTAATTACAAAATTCTATTGTAATATTTGGAATAATAATACATAAAACTGCAAAAGATTGAATAAAAAGGATAAATGATCTGACAGAATCTATTTTTATACGAAAAATGTTTATGGCCTATTTAAAATGGTTTCTGTGATAAGATAACAGATCATGATAATTATATTTCCACCAAAAAAAATGTGTAAACATATTGCGTTGTTTTTAATATTAATTATTAATAGCCGCAATTATTGACACATCAGTAGTACACACAATATGGACATGATAAATTATGTATTTATTCTTTCTTTCAATGAAATAATATACCATAAAATTGTAGATAATTGGTATTAAATAATAAAATTTTTACACTGATTATCTATAAAAATTCCATAATTACAAATTCAAATCTTAATTCGCAAAATCTCTTATATAATTTCTATTTAAATTTTATAAGTATATAAAATGCATCGTATCTTCTGTTTTATTTCTTTTTAATAAAAATTTGTGTTTTTTTCGTATCACATATAGTTTTTCTAACAGAGGTGTTTAATCATGTGGTATAATTAAATGAGTTACTTTAATTAATCATTTGATAGATGAACAATCAATAATTCTCACTCTCTTTAAATTAATATTTCTTTTTTTATATCTTTCTTATTTTCTCATTATCATTCACAAATAAATCAAAATAATAATAAAGATGAAAATATAATTTTACATAGTTTGTCGATGATTGAATTATAAGTAAAATCATTCAATGATTTACAGCATATCTATGATGTGGTTTGTTAATGGATAATAGTTATATCATACATTGACCTATCGTATATAACTATTTATGCAATTTTCATTATTATAAACAAACTACAATATTACAAATTTTTATAACTTTTTATTCTTGTTTGAATACATTTTCTATATTACACATATCTTTATCACAATTTTGTTCTATTTTAATATTATCCGTTTGATTATATTCTTCAGTTTTCTTTGTAGGAGATACAATTGGTTGGGCTTGTTTACGTTCTGGCAATACTTGAAGGAATGCTTCTTGCCATGTTTTATCTTCCGTTACTCTAAGTAGTATTTCAAATACTAAAAAATTAATTGTACATTGATTATGATTATGTGTATATATATATATATTTAAATTAATGTCATTTCCTTTACACACCATGATCAACTGTTAAAACTTTTCTAGCTTTCATTAGGAGAAATTTATCTAATGGTAAGCGACCATGTTTAATCCCACTCTCTATTGCCAACTCATGACATAGACCCTAAATAAAATAATAATAATGAAATTAATTAAAAATATAAAAGAGATATTGAAAAATATTAAATTATAAATAACCTTATGACAATTGTGATCGACCAAGCCACCTATAACATATATACAACTGTGATCGAGTCTATCTATCACATTTTCTGATTCACTAGTAAGATATACAATTTTATCCTTTGGATAAATACTCGTATATGAATCGCATTCAAATTTTACCTGCAATCTATAAATATTTAAGTGTATTTGAAATAAACGTAGGGAGTAGAACAAGTAGCGATATACGTACATCCCAATGTTCATATCCGTTATGCTTCTCCATTTCCTTTTTAGATTTGCCATTAAAACTTGTTAAGGAAAATTGTAAAGGTGCAATAGCTCTTCTGTTTAATGTGTAACATCTTAATATCTGTTTAATCAATTTTGCAATATCTTTATCTATCATTAAATCATCAAACGATAAATCAATTGTAACGGTAAGCTTACAACTACTTTCTGCCATAGTACTTCTTTTTAAAGCTTTTCTAGATGGTCCAAGATCTATATTATTTGCACGAGCAAAAGCACGTTTTTCTCTAGCTTTAGCTCGTTCTAGTCGTCTACAAAAATATAAATTAACAAAAAAGATTTGGATTAATTGTCAACAGAAAAATAAATATTATACAGTACAACTTAGTTGTAAATATTTTTTCTCTCCAAAATTATTAAAATTATTAATTTATTTAGAAGATAGAGAATGAGCACCTTTTTTCAATTTTTTTCTCCAACCATTTTTCCGTTTTTTTTGCTCTCTTTAATTGTCGTTTACTTAAATTTGTTTCTTTATGTGAAACCTTGTTATTATCAATTATGTTTTCCACATAATCCATGACTTCTTCATCTAATCTATTAATATTTTCAATATTTTCCATATTTTATATTTATATTTAAATTAGGAATTAATTTAAATATATATTTTCATTTAAATACAATTATATTATATAAAAACAAATAACATATTAGATTTAACTTCTGTGCCAAAAATTGGTCGGAATTTTCAACATGACACAAATACGCAACGTGATGAATAAAATCGACATCTCGCGGATTTCATGTCCATTCTTAACTGATCGATAGGTCGATCACGAAAATTATTCAATTAATATTATAAACGATTAATTTTATAATTACAGATTATTCACAATATAAGTATATAGTAGTATATATAAACAAAAATTATTTTAAATCATTTAACACACGTATTTTATTTAAGCAGAAAATAATGAATCTTGTTTTAGTAATATTTCTATCGCTAAAACAGTGTTATAATTAATCGATCTATCTTTACAAAAAGTTTTCTACATTATTTATCTATTTATTTAATAATAAAAACGATTCTATTTTAAAAAAGTAAATTAAAATGAGAATGTATTTATAAATTTCATAGAAAATTTAATGAAAGTTATATTATTTTTTTTTTTTTTTTTCTTTTATCGAAGAATAAATATTAATTTTCTTCAGACTCCGAGTTGTTAATTGCATTTAATAGAGTAGCTGTGATATCTACATTTACTCGAATTTTTTTCATATTTTGATCAATATCGTTTGCAACCCGTTGTATTTCTTGCATGCTCTAAAACAAACAAAAATACCATATCCTACCGTTACGTTAACATCAAATCAAATGATATTATAGAAAGTTATTTTCTTAATACTTATTCTTATAACCATTTTTATATTCCTATAAAGCTCTTTTTTACTTGCATGTTTTTCAGGTAATTTATTAAACGATATCGAAGTATCTAAAGTTTCTGAAGTTATGTCACTCATTGTTATACACGACAATAACAAAATAACTGAACTATATTTTAATATAAAACTTTTTGAACTTAACTATTGAACATTATTATATCTTAATTTAAAAAATCATAAGACTTTCCAATCAACGTATAAAATTTTTATGAAGAAAATTCACGCCATCTATTGTTAAAATTAATTTCAATTCTTAACATGTTTAGTGAGTTCAAACTAAAAGCGCGTTTCTCGAAACGACCAATAGCATCGGATAATCGATAATATAGAAATTCGATTGGTCGATCGAAATAAAATTCTGCTTGAATTGGTCGAAAAAACTTTTTCCATTCGATATTTGTCTCTTCGTGGATTAGAAAATCGTACGAAACGAGAAGGACAAATGATATGGCAGAACACGTGTATAGTTACATTTACTAGCTGTTCTATTTTATAATGTTTGCATGTGTGTGTGTTGTGTGTGAGAAATAGAGAAAGAGAAAGAAATTAAAAAATACTAAGCTTAGTCTGCTATATCTTTCTGTCAAACTACAATGTTCATCGGTGTAACGTATCCGTGTATAATTAATAAGACGAGTCGATGAAAGTAATTACAATTGTGTAAAATGAATAAATGAAATGTCTTTTTGCGAATTTTTACGAAAGATGTGTCATGTGTAAGTTCTATTATTTATTATTTAATATTAGAAAATATTTCTTATATATCGACTAGATGAATTCAAATTATCTCAAACTATTTCGAAGAATATTTCATAGATTACTCCTCCAAGTATTTCCATGTAACCTTTAGAACATTTACTTTTTATATTTTAAATAATTTGTGATAATTATATATTCTTGTAAATAAATGTTCATTCATTCAATTGAATAAATTTTAAAGTTAGAAATCACGAAGTTTTACTTTTTAACTGATTTATATTCTTATAAATATAATATTTTTGATCAGACACATATATGATGTCAATATTTTTCTTATTGTTATAATAATGAATCGAAGGAATTGAAAATTATACAAATGATAATAAAATATAATTATAAGCCTAACTATGAAACATATAATTAATACATGATTGTAATTTCAAGTAATTGTAATTGCGATACCCTGTCTAATGAATTTCTAATGTTTCTAATATTTGTTTTATGTTACAGAGGCCCGTGAAATGAAAATAAATTAATGAAATTAATCAAAAGTATGTTGTAAGAATGCCATCGGAAATAAAAAGTATTGACGCTTTAAGTAGCCAAGATGAGGAAAGAGAAAGACCTGCAGAAGAGTTGGCAACGTCTATAAAAGCAAATACGAATAATACTTCATCGAATGTAGATAATAACAAAGAGACTTTTACATCAAATGATAGAACTGAAATAATAGAAGAAGCGGGTAACTCTTCCATATCATTTGATAATCAAATATTACCTGAGAATGGTTCTTCGCAACAAGGGGAGATTGAATCTCTCCAAGATAAAATAACAAATAATGTTATTTATACTACGCAAAATCCAAATAAAAAAGAAACTCTACAAACGAATGTGTCATACGTATTAGCATCTAAAGAAAAATATGATGACAAAAGTGAACTTTCCAAAGATGTTAGCATCAATGAGAATGCTATGTACGAGGAACTTGCACGAACTTCAAGTCCAATGCCTGCATTGTTGTCACACAAAAATTTAATTAGGAAGAAGATCTTCTTTGCAAGTTCGGACAATGAATATGAAAAATTACAAATTGATCTTGAATCAACGTTTCACGATAGAAATTTAATCCAAGAAAAATCTGTTAATTGGAATTCCAGAAACGAACAACCAGAAGCTAACAATGACAGTATATCAACTAGTTTAAATTCCAAAGGAACAAAAGATAATTGTAATGATATGAATGCAGATAAATCGGCACCATTTTCTCATGAATTACCTGATATACATTCGACGTTTGATAATGGCTCAGCAGATGTTAGCAATGCTATGAATTTAATGAAGCTATTAAAACTGCCTAACGATAGTGATAATGATTCTTTATTAGATAGTGCCAGTGGTTTTACTAAGGATAATTCATTTGTGCCAAAACGGTTGTCAAGTCCACTACCTACTCAAACAGACTCGCTTGATTCCCATTATAACTTAATCACTGCTATGAAGCCATTAAGCATACAAGATACTGATAATAAAGAATTGGTTGATGATGTTAATGATACCAATGTTTTATGTTTACGTAGAATGAATGGGACACCACAATTGCAAGATAGTTTTACAAATTTGCCGCACTGCAGCAATTTTATGATTACCAAGGATAATTTGCAATTAGATGATATTAACCATAAAGACTCATTAGGAAAAGATAAGTACGATGTAAATAATTTAAATAAAATTGATTCATTATCTGCAAATACATCCAAAAGTGATATGCTGGTTGAAAATATGTTAACTGATATGCCTCATAATAATATTATAAAGGGGAAGAAATTATTTAAAATGTCCATTTTGAGAAATGTAGATGAAGCTGCAGCGATTCAGCCAACAGAATTAGAAGAAAATGCTATAGCACTTTTAGAACCATCCGTTTCTAGGCAAGAAACTTTATTAGAGGAAGCACAAAGTATAGAAATGGATCCTCGTTCTTCAAATAGTAGCGATGGAAGTAATTCTGATACAGAATCTCAACAAGCTATTTCAACTCGTAACAGATCTGCAATGGTATGCTTAAAAAATAATATAAATTCTTATGTTAATATAATCAAAATTTTTTTCTTATCCAAAATTTTTTAATATTATTACTAAGTTTAATTCTTAGGGATGTTATTTTTTGGACAGGTTTAAATTAAATGAACAATCTCTTTATCCGTTGAACGTTTCGTCCCTATATTTGGGACTTCCTCAGCAACTCGATAGTTATGTTCACTAGTCAATCTAACATCATTTCTCATTACAGTCATAAGTA